TTTTACAAAATTCAATCATTCTATCTCCAGAAAAAATGTTGTCAGGAGGTACCAGCTTTTGGGAAAAGGCATTGTGCTGGGGAAAGTGGAGGGTCAGACAAAGAGAGGAAGACTTTCAGTCAGATGGACTGACACAGTGACTGCACCAATGGGCATGTTGGCGATGGTGAGATGGTGCAGCATGGGGCAAGACTCAGATCTATTGTTCACGGGTCACTGTGAATTACAGAGGGCTGGATGGCAAATACCAACAGTCTGACATCGAACACAGACGGGATCTAGGAGCAAAACATTCAACACACAGACTTTCATTTTATTCCTTCTCAGTCTGAATTTTGTTATTCCAATATCCCAGAGCCAATGAGAAGAAACTTCTGAAGAGATTTCATCTAATTCCGGTGTTGAAAATAATGAAAGTAAGGATTAGAAAATCTGAGATTTAAGCCTAGTTTCCCAATGCCTCATTCAGGGCTCTGGTCAACTGAAAACTACTGCCAAAAATGTCAGAGAGGAGTCAGCATTACCCCCACCCACCGCAGTTGCCTGAAAATCTTGATAAACTTGTAGAAACTGGATCATGACAATTAAAACTCTAGTAGAATTGAAATAAAAATAATATAATTGATCCCATTAGAAGAGAGATAAACTTAGGTCAAGAACACAGACAAATCTGGAGAATCAGCTGGTTAGCCTTCTTTAGTCCCACTCTTGTTTTTCTTCAACTTCATAATTTGATGGATTTGAGGGGGGTAATCCTGACAACTCTATTTGATGAATTACACAATTAAAGTGTCTCTTAATTAGGAAAATGTGATTCCAGGTTAGAGCAAGAATAGTCTCTTTTAAAACAGGGTCTCCTTAAATGGTGCTCCGTAGAAAACCTATTCTATGGAGTAATGTGTATTGCTAAAGATATCGTACAGTGATGTAAGTTTGGGAAATGTAAGGTTAAAGAGTAAAATTCTTTAACCTGTTGTTGTTAGATGCCATCAAGTTGAGAAGACTCACAGTGAGTGAACCTATGAACAAAAGGTCTGAACCCTGTCCTAGCCCAGGCAATCCTCACCTTCTCTGACACACTTAAGCCTACTGCTGCAGTCACTGAGTCAATCCATCTTGTTGAGGGTCTTCCACTGTTTTGCTGAACCCACACCTTTCAAGCATGATGTCCCTCTCCAAGGAATAGTCTCTTGGTAACATGTACAAAGTATGTGAGATGAAGCTTTGTCATCCTTGCCTCCAAGGAGCATTCTGGCTGTATTTTATCCAAGACATATCTGCTTTTTCTTATGGCAATCCATGGGATATTAGTTTCTCCAACACTACAACTCAAAGATATCAATTCTTCTTCTTCATCCTTATTGTCCTTTCATATCCACTGCACATGACTGAAAAAACCATGGCTTGAATCAGGCCCACCTTAGTGTTCAAAACGGCAACTCTGCTCCTCAATAATTTGGAGTGGTCTCTGGCAGTTGACTTGCCCAGTGCAATATGTCTCCTGATCTCTTGACTGCTGGTACCAAGGGTGCTGATTATGGATCCAAGTAAGATGAAACTGTTCACAACTTTAATCTTTTCTCCAGCTATCACGATGTTACTTATTGGTCAAGTGGTGA